ATTTTTAGTTTATATGCAAACATAAAATGTGAAGCATTAATGCAGAATATCAGTTTAAAAGGTGTTTAAGACATTGTTGAAATTAACCTATTAAAATTACATTTTTTTTGTCATTTTAGTCATTTGGATTGGATTTGTCTATGGCTTAATATGCTAAGACTGGATGAATCATCACCTGTATACTGAACATATAGTTCCGGTGGGAACATTCTGTTGCCTAACTCATTTTAATAAAAACCATGAGGTTAGAGATACAAGAGAAGTCCTTGTTCTGATTCCAGCAGATTTGCTGTTTAGTTTTTTCTTTCCTTTTACAACCTGTGATTACCCACCTAACTCTCTTCATATAGCCTATCGTTACGTAAGTAATTCTTCCCCTTGTGCCTGTGTTTGCTTTTTCAACTAAATGATTAAGTGTCTTAATTTCTAGGCTGACTAAGATACTTCTTTCCTCCTTCCTCCCTAAATTTCCTTACTCTTTCTCCGCCCTGAAAGAAAGGGGTAAGATGATGAGTACCAAGAATAAAAGTATTTGACTTCATCTGGGAGGCCAGAGAAGGCTTCCCTAAGGAGGATACATTTAAGCAGACATCTGATGGATGATTAAGAGTCAACTAGGAGAAGAGAAGGAAGAAATAGCATTTCAAACAGGGGAAAGAAAGGGCATGGGCAAAGACCCTGTGGTAGGGAGGAGCAAAGCAAGCAGGAAGAATTGGAATCAAGCCAAGTGGAGAATGGGCTGAGAGAACCAAGGGAATATATGGTATGAAATTAGACTGGAAAGGGAGGCAGAGTTCAGACCTTATAGAGTTTTTTAGATCATATTTAATAAAGATCAGTGCTTATTCTAAGACCAAGGAGAAACAAATAAAAGGTTTTAAGCATGAAGTTGACCAGATTTGTAATCTGTAAAGATCCTTTTGGCTGCAGCGTGGATGGTACTTTGTGGTAAAGGATGGAAGTGTGTTGATTGGTTACAGGCCATTTTAGTGGGGTACACTGGAGAGGATGGAGCTTGGGATAAAGTTAGAGTGGTGCAGTTATAGAAAAGATAACAGATATAATTCTTAAATCTCAACAGATATGTTGTATTAGAAATGGGAGAGGAAAGAGAACTGTGTGAAAAATAACTACTAGATTTCTGATTACAGCGTTTAGACAGCAAGGGAATCCCAGAAGCAGATCACGTTTTGGGAACATCATGCATTTCAGAGGCAGAAAATTTCAGATGGCTTTGAGACACACAAGAGGAAAGGTCGAATAGTAATAATGATAATAGCTAATATTGTTGAGCATTTACAGTTATTATAGCATTTTTTAAGCTGGGGACATGGAAACACAGATGTTAAGAGACTTGTCCAATATCAGACAGTAAGTGGAAGAAATGGGATTTGAATCTACATACTTCACTTCCAGAGCCCATGCATCTTACCACTCTGTATGCTGCCTGTGTAGACAGATGTGGACCTACAGATATGTAGGTGTGGAGCTCATAGAAGGGGTCTGGACTAGAGATTAAAAGTACAGAACAAAAAAATATATTTTTATTTATGTCTCTGAAATGGATGAGATATCCTAGGGAGAGAATGTAAAGTGAGACATGATGTTTACCTTGAGGCTCTTCAGCATTCAATGGCCAAGGATAGCAAGATAGGCAGAGGGAAAGACCATGGGCTTCTGGTTGATATAAGAGAAAAAGGGGAGGTTAAGGAGATAACAAACAGTGGTGATTGTACTGCTAACATATCCAGTACAGAAGGGTCTTGGAGGAGTGGCGTAGTGGGGCTCAAGCACTTTGGGAAGTGAATAGGAGATGAGGACATGAAGTCAGAACATTTAGGCAACTCTGTAGAGAAGTTTATTTGAAGCAGGAAGTGTCTAGATAGGCCTGTGAGCTATAGCTGGAGGGAGATGTGAGGCCAAGCGGCTTTGTTTTGCCGTTATTTTAAAGGAAGAGACTGGTGTTTGTTTAAAAACCAGTGCAAAAAGATCTGCATAAGAAGAAGAGGTTGAATATATAAATGAGAGAAGGAATAATATTTTCATGTTGTTGGGAAAACAGGAGAGAACGGGATTAGGCATATGCAGAGAGTCTGGCATTTGGAAGGAGGAGGGGCACCACTTTGGTGTGTCAAGTCTGGAGTAGGAAGGACTGGAGCCACTTTGGTAAGTTGTATGTGATACCGGGAAGGAGAGTCACTTTCCATCAGATAACTTCTGTTTCCTTTGGAAAATGAAGGTGAAATAATCTAGAGAGAGCATGAAGAGGAGAATAGTACTGAAGGTTTGAGGAGTTAAGGAGAACAGGTTTAGTGTCAGGCATCAAAGAGGCTGGCTCTTGTGTTTCCAAAAATAATCTGTGCAGTGAGTTTCCTAGTTGAACACAAACACCCTTTTCGGAGCAGTTGCAGAGTTTGAGGAGATGGGAATTTGTAGGACACAGAGACTTACGCTGCTCTAAATGTGGTTTCTGTATTGTGTGTGTCCATTTCTCCTGAGAGTAAGGTCAGTATTAAAGCTGAGAAGGAGATGGGAGGCATGAGATGGTCTGTGGAAATTTTTAAACACATTTTTTAAGGCAAACATTTGTAGTGATTTAAATTACTTTATTGAAAGAGTCTTCTGACACGTCACATGTTATCTTACGTTTTACTTATTTTGGAAAACAGTTTATTCACCAGCAAGGCTCTTCAACTGGCTTTTTGAGGACAGGGCCCCTATCTCACTAAGCAAGCTACTGAGTGTGTGTCCCACAGGTATTTGCTAAATAAATGGTGAGAAAAGCGCTAGATATTACAACTCTGTTGGTACTGTGGCTACATTTTATTTGGCCAAGGGATTTTTTTGCTTTATGTTTTTTGGTAAACCTAAATAGATGTTCTCATTTGAAATTATAATGATCTCCATTTTTTAACGTGCCAAGAGAGTGATTTTCCCTTACCCAATTAAAAGTTTGATTTATTTAATGTAACTGAGAAGTGTGAATCATAAATGAAACATTGTATGTATTTATTTTTCGTATTTTTTAAGTTATGAAAATGTATTTGCTTGAACTACTGTATTCTAAGATTTTGATACATTTTTTAGTGACTCTTCTGGATGTTTTCTATTCCAGAAAATATGAAATTTTAGTTTTGATTTTTCATAAAAGGATACATTGAATATGATAGCTTTAATTTTAACTCTACTAATTTAGATTGGCCTAGGGACAACAGAATGCTTACATAAAAATTCTAAAGAACACACTAAGAAATATTTTATTTTTACCATAGGTAAAAAGGTGATGAGTTTCTCTAACTATAGGTGGGGTTTTTTTTGTTTTTTGTTTTTTTTTGGGGCCAAAATACAAATAAAGATTCATCTAAAGCAGTGGTTCTCCAAAGGGGTGGTATATCAATACTAACGTATAAAGTTGCTTTCTGCCCCTTTGCAAGATTGTGTCTCCGTTCTTCATGCTACCAAGCCCCTGCTGAGACTCTCCTCATACTGACTAGATTGTTTTCTGCTCCAGTCGGGTTTGGAAGTGTTCGCATTTTTTTTCTACTGTATATTTGCCTCTTTGTCCATCTATGGCTGTAGGAAGCTTATCCTGAGAGTGGAGGAAAAGATGTTTTGTCATTGCCACATTCTTCTGGACATAGACTGGAGGACTATAGGAATGTAAGCATTTGCTGAAACATAGTACTCTTTTCTGTTTATAAGCACCTATTCATTATTACTGTCATCGACCCTTATCTCTATCTTTCCCAGGGTTCCTTGATTCCTTCAATCTATGATCACTTTAAATATGGTCTTTCCTCTCCCTTGCACCTGTAGTCTCAGGTGAATCTTCTTCCCCACTCCCACACAAGGTAATTGTACTCTAACACCTAGAAAAACCTGAAGTTTTTGTGCAGCCAGCCTGTCCTGCACAAGGACAGAGAGCTTCAGGAGCTTGCTTTTCGAGAAGTGCCCAGCTGAACCTAGGGAGCTTCAGTCCTCAGGAACAAATGTGAAAGAAGATCTAGCTAGACAAACTGTGAAAAGAATACATTTACCTGCCATGACCTTTACATTGGTTATTAGGATAGTTCAGAAGTCTCTTTGCATCACTATACATACCCTACTTGTGTGGATATTTTGTGATATGGTCATCAAAATTGGAAGAAGGCATGGCATACCAGCTTGAAAGAATATTTTTAGATTCAGGCTCCATGGTGGTTACCATGTGACTGCTTAAGCCACAGCTGCTTCTAAAACACCTTTGCCATACTTCACTTTTTCTAATTTAACTAGATCATATAGTTAGTGTCATTAATTTGGGATGGAAGCACCCTTCTGTCATGACTGCTGTCCCTCACAAGTTTGAAAATGATTCACCATGCATATTAAAAAGTAAAATGCTTTTATTACTTTCATCAAGAGGCCATATGATACAAAGGTAAGCTGTTCAGGATAAAGATGAAAAAGTGAGTAGGAAAAGAAAATTAAAGTAAAAAGTTACTTTCTGAGATTTATTATTTCTGGCACTATTTTTGGATTTTGGGTTCATATTTTAGAAGGTAAAACTTCAGTCGACAATCAGGAGTTCTGTGTTTTATTCAGTTAGAAAGTTTTGATGTATTTGGAAAGTCATGTAATTTTCCTGTTGTCCAAGTAAAAATGGCCATGATTCCGTAGTAGAAGCTTATGGAGACTATGTGTGAAGGTTCTGAATGATTTATTACATAATCATAGAAACAAAAGTTAAGTATTTCTTTGGTTTTGTAACTTTATATAATTCAAGAGATAGTATTTAAGTCATATTCATGTATATGTTAAAAAAATTTTAGTACTTTACTAAAGTGGTAAACTTTCATATTACACAGTTCAATAAGGCAAATATCTTTATGACTTTTGCGTAAGATCCTAAATACTGTGTTATTTTTTCAAAAAAATGTAGATGTGGTGTTAATGATATGCTAATAATACTGTTTTGTAATTTTCTCTTAAAAGTTTGTAAATCCAGTTTTCTTTTTTAGGTGTGTTGAAGAAAGTACACACATCTTATCTTCTGAACATTTTGATGGAATTAACCACAAACCTCATGCAAGAACAATAAAAGGTATTTTGTTAAATAATTTTTGCATATTGATGTAGTGCTCTTAATTTCTAGATTTTCCTCACAAAGGCCTACCTTAAATCAACTGCAGTGGATACTACTTCACAGAGTATATTTTGTAAGAGAAGTTTCTTAATCATAAAATATATTTATTCTGTACCAAGTCATATGATACTTCTTTCAGAAAGTGCTTGTGCAGACAAAATTTCAGTATTAGTAGTATGAAATAGCATCATTTATTTTCACTGTGCACTTGTATATATTTTTTATATGCAGAGTACATGTAGTCATGTATTTAAAACATGCCCATGAGACAGATATGAAATTAATCAGGAAACGTAGGACAGCTGCGTTCATTTCCTACTTTGCTCTCCTTGGAGTTCTTCAGAATAGATGTGTTTAAGAGCAAATCCAAAGTGAGCATCTTACTGTACATACCTCTTAACATTAGGATGATATTAAATGGTGTGGTGAGCCCTTAAAAAGGTAAACACCCTCCTGAAAACGCCAGAATAGCTTGGGCTTCATTCCCAGATCCCACGTTATAAGCCACATAGACCTAACAGACATCTGTAGAATACTCCACTTAAAGAGCAGAACACACATTCAAGTGCATATGGAACACTCTTCAGGATAGATTATTGGGACATAAAATTAGCTTCAATATATGTAAAAAGGAATGAAATAATACAAAAGTTTGTTCTCTGACCACTATAGAATACAATTAGAAATAAGTAACAAAAGAAAATTTGGGAAATGCACAAATATATAGAAATTAAATGACATACTCCTAATTTGGGAAATGCACAAATATGTGGAAATTAAATAATATACTTCTAAATAATCAGAGTCAAAGAAGAAATCACAAGGGAAATCAGAAAATGTCTTGAGATAAATTAACCTAAAGCACTGCATACCAAAATTTATGGGCTGCAACTTTAAAAAGCAGTGTTTAGAGAGAAATTTATAGCTATAAATGCTTATTTTTTTCAAAAAAAGAAAGATCTCAAATTGATAGTCCAACTTTTCACGTTAAGAACCTAGAAAAAGAAGAGCAAACTAAACCTAAGCAAGCAGAAGGAAGAAAATAATAAAGATGAAAGTGCAAATAAATGGAAGAATAAAAACGATAGAAAATCAATAAAAGCAAAAGTTGGTCCTTTGAAAGATCAGCAAAATTTATGAACCTTTAGCTAGACTAACCAGGATAAAAGAATAATCAGCAATGAAAGAGCGGATACCACTACCGACTCTACAGAAATTTAAAAAAGGTAATTATATGCTAAAATATTTGGTGACTTAAATGAAATGGATAAATTCCTAAAAAACAAAAACTACCAAAACAGAGTCAAGAAGACAGAGAAAATATGAACCTATAACAAGTTAAGTGATTGAATTATAATTTTAAAAATTTCCCCCTTCATACACACAAAAAACCCAGGCCCGTATGTCCTCACTGTGAATTTTACCAAAAATATAGAAAAGAATTTATGCCAATCTTTTACAAACTTCTCCAAAAAAATACAAGAGGAGAGAATACTTCCTGACTGATTCTGTAAGGCGAGTGTATTACCCTGATAAAAATGGACAAGACAACAAGAACACAAGAAAACTATAGACCAGTATCTTTGATCTATAGTTCTGATGTAAAAATTCTTGGCCAGGTGTGGTGGCTCACACCTGTAATCCCAGCACTTTGGGAGGCTAAGGCAGGTGCATCACCTGAGGTCAGGAGTTCGAGACCAGGCTGGCCACCATGGTGAAACTGTGTCTCTACTAAAAATACAAAAATTAGCTGGGCGTGGTGGCTATTGCCTGTAATCCCAGCTACTCTGGAGGCTAAGGCAGGTGAATAGCTTGAATCCAGGAGGCAGAGGTTTCAGTGAGCCAAAATTGGCGCTATTGCGCTTCAGCCTGGGCGACAAGAGCAAGACTCCATCTTAACAAACAAAAATTCTCAACAAAATGCTGGAAAATTAAATCTAGTGACATGAAAAGCATTAACATCAAGACCAAATGGGATATATGTCAGGAATGCAAGATTGCTTTGACATATGAAAATCTGTGTTGACACCAGATTAATAGAATAGAGAACAGAAGTCACATGATCATCTTAATAGACACAGAAAAAGCACTTGACAAATTCTAAGTCCCTTTTATCATACAAACACTGAACAAACTAGGAATAGAAGGGAACTTCCTCACCCTGATAAAGAGAATCTACAAAAACTACACAGCTAACATCATACTTAATGGTGAAAAACTGAGAGTTTGCCCTCTAAGATCAGGAACAAGACAAGAATGTGTTATCTTACTGTTTCTATTTAACATTGCACTGGAGGTTCTAAGCAGGGCAGCTAGGTAAGAAAAAGAAAAGCATCCAGATTGGAAAGGCAGAAGAAAAACGTTCTCTGTTTGTAGATGACATCTTTTATGTAAAAATATCTAAGGAATCCCCTAAAAAATTGTTAGAACTAATAAATGAATTCAGCAAGTTTGAAAGATACAAGATCAGTACAAAGATGAATTGTATTTATATATGCTACCAATGAACAATCTGGAAATTAAGAATAAAACTGAGAAATTAAGAAAACAATGACATTGGCAGTAGCATCAAAGAGAATAAATACTCAGGAATAAGTATTTACAAATAAGCAAAGGAAGTGCAAGACTTGCACACCAAAACTACAAAATATTGTTGTGAAAAATTGAAGACCTAAATAAGTGGAAAGATATCTGTGTCTTTGAATTGGAAAACTCACATTGTTAAGTTGGTAATACACCCCAAATTGTTCTAGTTTCAATGCAGTCTGAAAATTTCAGCTGCCCCTTTTGTAGAAATTGACAAGTTGACCCTAAAATTAATATGGAAATGCAAGGAATCCATAATAGCCAAAATAGTATTGAAAAAGAAAAGCGAAGTTTGAAAACTCCCCATTCTCAATTTCAAGAGTTACTACAAAGCTATAATAAATAACAGTGTGGTACTGGCATAAGGATATACATACAGATCAATGGAATAGGGTCTAAAAATAAACTGTTACATCTGTGGTACACTGATATTCAACAAGGGTACCAAGACACTCTGATAGTCTTTTCAGCCAGTAGTCTTGGGACAACTGGATATCCTCACACAATATATAAAAATTAATTCAAAATGGATCAAAGACCTAAATGTAAGAGATAAAAACAATATAAAACTCTTAGAGGAAAACATAGACTGAAATCTTTATAACCTTGTGGTAGGCAGTGGTTTCTTAGATTGATACCAAAAGTATAAACAACAAAAGAAAACTATGTAAGTTGGACTACACTAAAATTAAAAACTTTTGTACTTCAAAGGACGCCATCAAGAAAGTGAAAAGACAGCCCACAAAATGGGAGAAAATATTTGCAAATCTTTTATCTGATAAAGAACCTGTATCCAATGTATATAAAGAACTCTTACAACTCAACAATAAAAATAACCTAATTAAAACTAGTCAAAGAAATTGAATAGACATTTTTCCAAAGAAGATTTGCAAATTGCCAATGAGCACATGAAAAGATTCTCAACATTGTTAGTCATTAGGGAATAGCCACAATGAGATACCGCTTTGTGCCTCATGGGATGGCTGTAATTTAAATATGGACAAAAACAAGTATTAGTGAGGATTTGTTGACATTGGAAACCCTATACATTATTGGTGGGAATGTAAATGGGAAACTTCTTTGGAAAACAATCTGGAAAATCCTCAAAAGGTTAAACATAGAGTTACCCTAAGACACAGCCAGTATTTATATTGAAAACCTCTTCCATTCCTGTATGTAACACTGTAAAGGGGTAAATGTTACCGTATGTGAAGTGTATCACAAATAACTCCTCCTAGGTGGTCTGTTACTGTGTCAAATTCTTAGGGTACCATATGAACACAAAGGGGTGTGAACCCAACCCTCTAGAGCTTCTTGTCTGTTAGGAGTATGAGGCATTACAATTGTGGTAAGTACCATCAGGGAAAGATACAGGGGCCACTAAGATTATTAACAGGGATATCTGAACCTAGGTCAGGGACAGTTCTCTTTAAGGGGGTGATTTTCCCTTGAGATCCAAAGGATGAATCCAAGCTATCAAGGCAAAAAGGGCATAAGGTAAGAGGGATTACAGGAAGTGGGGGCCAACACGTGTAAATACTCTCAAGAGAGTCACAGGGTTTTCAGGAAATGGAAGGAAGGTCAGCGTGAATGAGACAAAGAAAATGAGGGGGTGAGGAGTGCATCCGAGAAGAAGGTCCAGACCAGACTGTGCACAACCTCATCAATGTGTTACGGCTTTGAAAGGTTTTCAGTCTGGGGTGACACATTCTAATCCGTGTTTTGAAGACATCCCTCTGGCTGTGTCAGAAAAGGGGCAAGAGTGGAAGTGGGAGGGACCAGTGAAGAGTACTCATGGTCTAGGCAGGGACTCATAGAGCAACTTGCACCAGACAGTTGGCAGTGGAGACGAGGAAAAGTGGACATATCTGAGGGCTTTTTGGAAGGTAAAATTGATACTATTTGGTGAAAGCCAAGGTAGGGGAAGTAAGGGAGAGAGGTGTAAGGCATGGCTCCCAGACATTGGACTTTGGAAAGTGAATGAGTTGGAGGGCTGTTTCTAAGCCAGAGATTTTCCTTCATGATACACTTTGTTATGAACAACTTCAAGTAACATGATTGGATTTTTTTTCTGTTGACAAGTATCTCTTTCTTACTGAGGCAGTCACATATAATACAGAATTATGTGATTTGCTGATAGCAAATATTTGGGGAGAGTACAAATTTCTGAAAATTAGACAATTTTTTTTAATTTGCCAGATGAATTTTGCTCTGAGAGTCTCTGTTGTCCTGGTCTGTCTCCTGTGTCTTCTTTTTTTTTTTTTTTTTTTTTAACTGTGCATGAGCTGTTTTTAATTTGTTGTGCTGTTACTAAAGTTCTGAAGGCTGCAGTTAAAACATTCCAATTTCTCCCTTCCATCTTTATTGATTCT